ACACACACACACACACACACACACACACACACACACACACACACACGACCCAGCTTCATAGGCATATTGCTCACTGGCCAGGGAATTTCCTCCAACCATTAAGACTTCCCCAGTCACTCGAGTGACTGATAACATGCCACTCGTCAACATAGCTCTAGGACCTAGGAATCTGTCCTGGGGGAAAAAAAAAAAAGCAGTGGACACTCCTTGAGAGGGCACCTAGATTCTCCACCCCCTACGGAAGGAGCCAGACCAGAGCCCTGTGTGATGGTGCCTTTACCTCAGACGGCCAGGCAGGAGGATGGAGAACTGAAGGCAGCCTGGGCTGCTTGGCATATTTGAGGTCAGCTAGAGGAACAGAGACCCCTGCCTGGAACGAACGAACGAACTCAGATTGAGAACTGGGAAGGTAATTCAGTGGCAGAGCTTAGTATGCACAGGGGTCTGATTTTCAGCCCCAGCACAAAACGAAAAAGAAGTCTAAAGAACAGTATGTGCTGAGCTGCCCCAAAGCCAGCCCGCCCCTGTGCTGAATGCTGTGTATATGAATTTGACTGAATTTTTTTTGTTTTTTGTTTTTCGAGACAGGGTTTCCTCTGTGTAGCTTTGCCCCTTTCCTGGAACTCACTTGGTAGCCCAGGCTGGCCTCGAACTCACAGAGATCCGCCTGCCTCTGCCTCCCAGTGCTGGGATTAAAGGCGTGCGCCGCCACCACCGCCCCGTCTTTAATTGAATTCTTTTGACTATTTTAGCTCTGATGAAAGATAAGGAAAATAAGGCTTGGATGCCCCCAGTGCCACAACTGAGTGGAAGCAAGTCGAGGTCTTGGTCTGACTCAAAGCAGGAAGCAGAAAGTTACAGGCAAGAGAGCTTACTGCACCCCACTATCATCACAACCCCCCCATGTCAGCCGCTGGGATCCCCCTCCATCCCTGCACAGCCTCCAGGAACAAACTTCTTCTAACCAGGAGCAGCTTTCTGAACCCTCATCATCACATCACCTGACATGTCCTTCGGGCATCTTTTTCCAGAAAACGTCCAAAATGGTCTCCGCTCTGGTCTGAGGGGGAAATGGTCCTGAACAGGGAGGGAACTTTGGGATGTGACGGGAAAGGCTGATGGCAGAGGGAGGCAAAAAACCAGACTTCCTGGCCCCTCCTGGAGTGGTGGGGAGGCATGCAATACTTCTGCTCAAACAGTACTTCCCCCAAAGCGCGGTCAATGGTCCCGTCCCTCCCTGGCTCCTGGATCAGAGGCGTGTGTGTGTGAAAGTTAAGTTTTCCAGGCCAGACTTTTACTGCTCTCTGGGCCACACCTCAGAATTCCTTCCTCACACACCTGGAGCTGGAGGACAGGGTGGGTGGGGACCCTCAGTGGGCCACTCAAGGGGTAGGAAGTCTCTCCAGTTGAACTTGCCCACGACAGGAAGGAGGTAGAGGTCTGGGGGTGGGGTGGGGGTAGCCCTCTCCTGATCCTCTCCAGGGGGTGGTGGGGTGGGGAGAATGCCTGGATTGGGGCTCCATTTAAGATCAGAGACTTTGCCTCACGCACACAGGGATGGACTAGAAGGAAGGGGCACTCGGTGACTGTCCTGGTTCCACCCAGTCACTGGACACTGAGTCACCTAGATGGGTGAGGCTCCACCTGGTCCAACCTTTACCCTGGAAATGCTCATGACACCCCAAAGGGAACCCCAGTGTTCGTGAACTGTGAGCCGACGTCTGCTCTTTGAGGGGCTAGCAGTAGGAGACAGAGCCTTATTTTGATCCATTTCCTAGACTTCAGGTTCTTTTCTAAAGTTGCCTGTTTCTTCACAGAAAAACCAAGAAAACAGAATGGACTGTAGCCCCAGGATCCCAGAAGCCAGGGACACAGGAGGAGGTCCACTCACAGGACCTTGGGGTCTCAACACCCCGATGTGCCAGCCACAGAATCCTGGACTCACAGCTGTGATCTAGACCTTGCTCCCCTAAAAACGATAGGACCCAGAAACACAACCCATTGAAATCCAAGCCCCAGGGGACTCAAAATCAAAGACCACGGTAAGGAAGGAATTCTGCAACCTTGGGAGGTACAAGTACAGCCCCACGTTTCCTAGAACCGCAGGAGAGGAACAGGGCCGGGGAACAGAACATAATACTGGGGGGTAGGGGTGGATCAGAGTTCGCCTCAACCTATTACCTCCCCTTAAAGCTGAGGAGGCAGAGGTCCTTTTGCCTTTCAGGGCCCCCCAGCCAGCCAGCTCCCTGCAGAGACCTTCCGCCTTGTTAGGGTATCAGGAAGGGAATGCCCCAGCAAGACAGGGGAAACCCTTGGGGATGACCACGGGGGACCCACTGGGCTCTGGTGCACTCACCAGCGGTGTCGTAGAGGTTCAGGGTCACCTCCTTGTTGCCCACGGTCACACTAGCCGTGTACTTCTCAAACACCGACGGGGCATAGTGCTGTGAGAGAGGGGGGTCGGGTTGGTCTTTTAAGGGGTGCAAAGGAGGCTCAGAGTCCCAGACCGATCCCTCCCCCACGAACGTCTAACACCCTCACTCCATCCAGCTCAGACCTGGCAAGCCACTGGGCCCAGGAATTCTCAAAGGGCTGCCTGAAGGAGACACCCAGGACTGCACGGTCCAGACTTTGGGCTCCTGGGTCCTGGCTGGAGGACACCCCTTGTTCCTTGCGGCCCCAAGCCCCTCCTCGCCCCCTCCTGCCACCTACCAGGCCTCACCTCGGGAAAGGAGCCTTGGCAATACACCATGAGCAGCGACGTCTTGCCGCAGCCGCCGTCACCCACGATCACTATCTTCAGCTCCTTCCTCGCCGAGCTGGGGGCGGCGGCTGGGGCCGGAGCACCTAGGGCGTCCATAGCCCAGAGCCCGCAGCGCTGGATGCTGCGCTCTGGCCAGAGCCCAGTGGAGCGACAGGGAGGGGGCGGGGCGGCGGGGCGGGGCCACGAGGCTCCGCCCCGTCGGGCCGCCGGCGCCACCTCTGCCAGGCAGCCTCCCGGGCTCACCTCCCTGCCTCAATGCCTCTCTGCTCTGGTCCCGCCCTGGGTTTTTGTCTCTCAGTCCCCGGGGGGGGAAACGACGAGGAACCGGATGCTGAGCCCCAAGCGCAGCCGCGCATCCCCATCACCACGTGTGCCTGCGCATCCCCCATCTCGTTAGGTCCGCGGTTTCTGCCTCTCCACACCGACAGCCCGTGGTTGGCAAGCTCCGCCTCCTGGCGAGGACCCTTTGATTGGCCGGCCCCACCCCCATAGGGACTCCTGGATTAGAGGGCTGTACCCGGCGCCCGGGGTTCGCATCCAGCCCTTGCAGCCAGTCGGCCAGTGGGGCCCGTTTTCCAACAGGTGGTACCCACGGTCGTCCCCGAGAAGACGCCAGGACGCTGGGTCGTGTGCGTCCACAGTGTCCTGGCCCTCGTCAGTGTGCGATTATAGGAATTCTGCTCTCCTCCCCTCCCCGTGCGTTCTGCTGACCCACACCGTGGGGCCGGCGCGCCCCCTGCCGGATGAACAGCCCCGTTTTCCAGGGGTGACTCAAAAAACACACAGGCAGCACTGAGCAAAGGCTCGGAGGGGTGAACCCAAGCACGACGTTGTCGCGACCGTGACAGGTCGAGCATCTGGCCCTTCCATACATTCTGGAAACTCATCCTCCCCATACATCTCCACCAAGGAATGTTCTGGTGTCCTCCGGCTCCATGTCCTTCATCCCGGGAATTCCACTCCCATCCAACAGCTCTTGGCTAAGAGCTTACTTAATACAAACAAGTACTAGCGATACGGTTGGTTGACGTCCCTGTGACCCATCCTTTTCCTGTTACTATGAGCTGAGGGTCCACCCCCAAAAAGCAGACCAGTGGCCAGGGGTTGGTAGGACCCCTGCAGCCAGCCCGCAGCAGCAGCAGCAGCAGCAACAGGCAGACCCGGTGTGCACTTTATGGAGTAAACTACCAACCCGGGAGGTAGTAAACGCCAGGTCGTTTTCTTCTTGTTTCCCCGCCCCCTCCCCGTCCCTCCCGGAGGCGCAAGGCAAAGCCATTACCACCAGAGGGCAGCAGCGACCGTCGCCCGTGGGACGTCAAAAGACAACAGAGACCTGGGTGGGCGGTGGAAACCTGGCCCAACCTCCAGCTTTGGGGCCCGGGGGCCCCCTTCATGTCAATGGATCAAAGGTCCCCTAGACAAATGTTCAGCAACTCGTTCATTCCTTTTTTTTTTTATTTTATTACAACTTGTTTATTGAACAGCAACCGTGTTCCCGCCGGTGAGGACCGGTCAGGAGGAAGCAGTGTGTGTGATGCAGTTCCCAGCATCAGTGAGATCCATTTTAAGGCGACAGCGGCGGGACCAGGGAAGGTGGTGTTTGTTGAACTGGGTACAGCTGGGCAGAGGGAGGGAGGAGCCCATGGAGGCCGGGAGGGGTGCCCAACCTGGGCAAATGCACCAATGCACCGCAGCTGGAAAACCCTCTTCAGGTTTTCAGTGGTGAGGAGGGAGGGAGACGGGACCAAATGGTTGTCAAGGTAACAGGCTAAATCAGGGCGGGCCTGATGGCTGGCTGAGTGGAGAAGGGCTACAGACAGAGAAGGCTCCACAACTCAGGAGTGCTGTCAAAACCAGGCAGAGGAGGAGGCGCTGGGCTGTAGCTCAGTGGCTGCTCTTTGAGGACGGCAAAAAAAAAAAAAAAAAGGAAAGATGGCGCGCCAGAGGCACGAGTCCCCAGAGAAGGCAGAGCAGGCCGGTCCAGCGTGGAGTCAAAAATCGCACAAAGAGGGGGGAGTTTTGGAGGGAGCTGGGACCCGCTTACCTTTGCAGGGATTCCAGGTTTCTTCTCTCGGCCTTCTTTGGGCTTGGTCCTGGGCCCAGGAGGCTGGCTGGCTGCATGTGCTAGGAGAAAATTCATTTAGAAGGAAAAGAAAAAAAATACTTGTTCTACTACATACAACCAAGAGAGGGCTCTGGACTTTCCACAAATCCCCCAGACCTGTGTCTGTGCTCTCCATCTTCAGTGACAGAGCAAGTCTGAAGGAAATGACCAAAAGCGAATAATTCTGGCTCCGATGGGTTCCGGCTGCCAACTGGTTCCAGCCTGCCTCCCCACCCACCCCGGCCTCACCAGGAGACTGGCAGAACCCCAGCACTATCAGGCCTGGAGTGTTGGACTTGGAGCCAGCTCTCTTGGTGATGGTGGGGCTGGATCTGGGTAGCTAAAAATACCCAGGAATCCAGCCAGCTGCTGTGGAGAGCCTCCTCAGAGGTCAGGCCAGGCCAGGACGGCCCCGCTGAGGAGATAAGACACAACTCACCCACCCCGGGTGGCTGATTCCCTCACCTGCAAGATGTTCTGGGGGCCCCCTGGGTCACTCTCTGATTCTCCAGGAATTCCTGGAAAGCTAGGAAAGTGAGAGATTCCTTCGGCTGGTTCTTGCCACAAAACCTCTCAGGGAGCCGCAGGATGGTCTCAGGGAAGACTATGCCCCAGAGGCCGACAGGGAGCGTGGAACCCAGGAGAGCAGAGACAGAATGCCTTCAGTCTTTCAGGACAAAGTACAAATTTGGAAGGGGAGTTATCACTCCCCTAACACAGAGGCACCATAAATCAATTATTTAGCTATCCAAATGCAGATGGTATGGATAGCAGTGAGAGATAAAAGACTCCAGCTAGAGCCTTAACAGATAAGGGGGGGGAGGGGGAGGGTGAAACCAGGGTGCCTGGGGGTGCTATCTTATCCACTTGGCTAGGCCATCTCCCTCCCAGGTCTCAGCTACCTAACAGCTCTAGGGAACAAGTGGAGGATGGGCAGGTCATTTCTAGAAGCCGGGCTGGAAAAACCGCTAAAGCCTGGACGCAAAGAGAGTGTACTTACGGTCCCAGCCTGTCAAGAGGACTGGCCTGGACGTGGCAAGACCCTCCTCTGTCAACCCAAAACGTTAGAAACAGCCCCAAACGGTGGTTGCATCCACTTTCCCCCTCCTGGTTCCCGTCTCCGCAGGAACTTGCTTGAGGGCACAGGACAAATCGGAGAAAAACACTGGGGGCTGGGGAGAGTGGGGGGGGGGGTATCGCTACCCATCGAGGCTGCTGTCTCCACCTGGAGCGTTCCAAAAGGTCAAGTTCCAAAGGAGGGCTCCAGGCCAGGTGGAGCAGACGGAAGGGGCGGGGACGCCAGAATCGGTAGAGAAGCTGGTCGGGCCACCTCCCGGCTCAAGCAGTCCTTCCGCTGGCGTGGCCCTCTCTCAGCCCAAAGCGGCCCCGCCCCAAGCTTAGTGGGTGACCAGTGGGCGGGGCACCCCTCAGGGCCAGGGACAACAGAGGGACAAACTGCCCCACCCTACTGCCCAGGAGGTGATAAGGGGGCAAAAAAAAAAAAAAAAAAGAGGGAGGGAGGGAGGGAGGGAGGGAGGGAGGGAGGGAGGTGAAAGAGCCTGGAGTGGGGACATTCACAAGTTGGCCTGGTCACGACTCTCTCTCCCTTTCAAACATCACACCACACAGTTTAGCACCTAATTGTCTCCCAAAGGCTGTAGCCCTCCAGGGTACAGCTGACACAGCGTGACTTGTCAATGATCTAGTCTGAGGCTGGAGGAGATAAGAGACCCGAAGACTGGAACCGGAGAAGCAGGGCGCTTAGGCGGACCAAGTGGGTTCCAAGGCTTACAGGGTGTGTGTATATATATATATCTACAGTATGAACCGAATGCACTGAGTAAGTGCTTTTCCGGGCTCTTCCCACTTGAGGTGAGGGGCTCAGCCCTCCCCAGCACTAAGCCAGCTCAACTGGATGCCTGGGCCTGGCCCTCGGCACCAGCGGGAGCTACAGGGACCATTCTGACCCCATGCTGCCAGACAGCTCTCTGGCAACGAGGAAAACAGACAGCTGGCACCGGAGGGTGCCTAAAATAACCCAGACAGCTGGGCAAGGGGGTGTCAGGGGCCCAGGCTTATGGGCCGAAAGAAAATCAAGATACCTGGAACCCTGTCCAGGCTCTGCCGGGGGGTGGCCTCGTAACCTAGGGTGAGATATTTCTTCTCTTGGAGCCTTTGGTGCGACAACTCTTAAACATCATGACACCACCACCACCACCACCACCACCACGGAACAGCCCATTGGGCCCCGGGACAGCCTGGACTCAAAACTGCACGGGCAGAATAAACAGCTGGCCGCCTTCCCAGGCAGAGCTACTTTTCTTTCTCCTTTGCCTGGAGGCTCCAGCACGTGCTTCAGGAAGTGGGCTGGCGGGGAGGAGCCCAGGACACAGCCCAGCCCCCACCCCCGCTGCCACTCCCAGCAACCACCCCTATCATAATGGAGGCCAACTGGTGGCCGAGTCCAGAGCAGGAGTGAGGCCCCTTTAATCTCCATTAATCCTCCCAACAACCTTTTTCCAGCAGTTATTATGATTGTTTTTTGTTTTTTTTAAACAGGGGAAACTCTAGTCCAAGGTCACTAGCCCACAGCTGCCAGACTTGAAGATCCCTGACCAGGCACCAACACCACCTCCGTGAAGCCCGCTAGGCTCTCCAAGCCACCGTTCCAGCACTCACCGCAGGGGTGAGAACAAGGGGAAAAGACAAGAAGCTGGACGCTCCAGGCCAAAATGAGGGAAGCAGCGTGATCTGCCGCACCTGCAGCAAATGGCTTTATCAAAGTAACATAAACTAGGAACACACTTGGGGGGGTGGGGGTGGAGGGGGCGGGGTCAGAGATCAAGGGCCACACCACCTTCAGCTGTGAAGCTTCCCCGGGGCCGGAGGGCAAGCCAACTGCCGGCTACCCAGCCAGGGAATATCTCAGGTGTCACTTAGCAGGGAGAGTCGGGAACACTGGCCTGGGACCCCGCACGGAGTGCAAATTCTCAGATGCACCTCCGGAGTGAGAAACTCAAGAGACGGGCAGAGCCAGGTTTAATGAGTTCCCCTAACTGACTCCTGATGCCTGTGCCGCCTAGTTGTTGTAGACAGGGAGCCCGGCTCGGAGACTCTGTTCAGACTATGCAAGGTCACCATCACACGTAAAGGGCCAGCCCTACTTTGCATGTTCTGGAAGCCAGGCTCTCACAACCTGGCCTTGTTGGGACATGGAGGCCACTTTGAGAAACCAGGAAACGGAGAAGTCAAGGAAGCCTTTTCTCTGGGCAAGCTGCCTACGACTCAGGTCTCTTGGTTCTTTGTCTACCCAGCAAGCCGCCAGACCTCAGAGGGCGGCTCATTTGGTCCTCCTAATGGGGCTCAGGAGGAAGGGCTGAAGCGCCACCGGCAAGCCTGCCAGCAGGCAATGCCTTCAGAAGCTTCCAAGGCCCTCCCACCCACCATAAAACACACCATTGGGAAATACTCCGTCGTCCCTGCTCTAGTACGCAGCTAAATTCGGCAGAGAATCGCCCGCCCTTAAACGCCTGACAACAGAGGTTGACAGGCGGGGCTGGATGGACCCAGCAGGCCGCCCATTTCTCACACACACACACTCACAACCGCCACATCAGCGTGGGGGAGGGGCCGCAGAACCAGCCCAGCGAGTTTGGGGATCCCAACCCGCCCTTCGAAGGCCGCAGGCCAAAGCCCCCTGATCCAGTTCTCTGAACTTGGGGAAAGGGCTCTCAACCTACCTTCGTGGGGAAGGTGTCAGCCAAATTAGGCCTGCTCCAGATGTCCAGAGGAAGCAAGGGCTGTCTACTGTGGGGATAAGCCAGACATTTGCTCCGGTTCTCCGGCCAAGACCTGTGAATTCGGACGATCTGTTAGGGCAGTCCCTCAGTTTGTAGGTCAGAGAATGGATTGGCCAAATGCAAACCAACAGGGTCTACTTGATCGAGAGGGAGCCTCAGAAATGCTGCCCCCCCTCTTTCCCAGCTGACAAGGCGGCCCTCACTCTGGAATGGATGGGGGTGGGGTGGGGGTGGCTGAGTCACTAAGGTTCAGCCCGGGCGACAAGCAGCAGGAGACGACTCATCTGCATTTCCAAAGGCCCGCCCTGTCCGCATCCCCTCCCCCAGGAAGGCCGAGATCTAAGGCTTTAACCCTCCGGCACTTATCGCCGGGGGTGGGGTGTGGGGGGGATCCCGAGGGGGAGGCCCCACTCGGCTTTCCCAGGCCCCGACCGCCCCCCCCCCACCCCAACACACACCTCCAACCAGCAGAGCTGGGGTGGAGGCTGTGCCCCTGGCGTCCAAGTGAAGGGACTCAGGCACTGCGAGGGCCTCTAAACCAAAGTGGGGACAAAAGGGGAGACCCGCCCCTCCGGCTCGGCTATCAAAGGACGACCGGGGGGGAGGCAGGGGTGGGTCTCCCGAAGCCGAGTGGGCAGTGGAGGGAGCCTTGGGCAGCCTCGTAGCCCTGGGCGACTTTGGCTCCTCTTCCGAGGCAGAACAAGCAAAGCAGGGCACTGCGCAGCCAGAGCGAGGCCTCGTGCCCGCCTGGGCCTTGGGAGTCCGGGGCTGCAGCGGAGATCAGGGTCTTCAACCCGCCTCCAGCGGCTCGCCCTGCCCGGCCCCGGCTTCTCCCGCGATCGCGATTGCGATCGCCGGTGCGGGAGCCGCACGCCGCGCCCAGGGCGCAGGGGGCGCAGGGAGGGGGGGGAGAGCGAGTGCGGGAACTGTGGGTGCACGACACCCCCGAGGCCTAAGACCCCCCAGAGACCCGTCACCAGGATCCCAGGTGCCGTGCTTTGCAGGCTCCTAGGACCCGGGATTGCCTCCCGGGCTCCCAGCGACAACCGGGGGAAAGCAGGATGGCGGAAGGAAGGAAGGAAGGAGGAGGAGGAGAGCCGGCCGCCATTAGCCACCGCAGCAGTGAACGGCCGGCCGGGCGGCTCCAGCCTTTGGCCCCAACCGGGCCCAGCCCGGGGCTCGGCTCAAAAATCTGAAAATAAAACTCATGTTTGGGAGGGAGGAGCGCGCGCGGCCGGGAGGCCAGGCAGCGCCGGGCTGCAGGCGGGAGAGATGCTGCGTCATGGTGCCAACATGGACGCCGGCCTTTTGTCCTTTTTTCTCTTTGGAAGAGCAGGCGAGCCCCGGAGCCCCGAAAAGCTGACTTAAAGGGTGCAGACACCCCACCATCAAAGGGGAACGAGACCTTAGGACGGGTGGGGAGGTTTCCTCGCTTTTTCAGCCCCCTCCGTCTCCAAAGCACTTCAATTTCTCCTCCCTCTGCCACCGAGGTGCAGACCCGAGGCCAGCCAAAGGGACTAAGCGCAGACAGCTCCATGGATGCCCCCGGAGTACTGGGGAGATGCTCTCTCCGCTTTTGGGGCAGAAGAGGCAAAGGGGTCTGGAGAGTCTTTGTCCCCTCACCCGCCCACGGTCATCGGTTGCCAAACTCAAGCTCCAGGAACCTCAGCTCCCATCATCTGCAGCCCGTGGCCTGCTGGATCGCGAGTTCCTCGAAGGGGGCAAAAAGCACTTAAAAAAATTTTTTTTTTATTTTAGTCTTTTACTTACCCGCTCAGCCCGGTGCCATGGAGTCTAGAAGAAAAAGCTGGGCGGTGTTTTTGGAGATGTTATTATAAAAACAACATTTTTGTTGTTGTTGTTTTGGTTGTTTAGTTGGGGGGGGGAAAAATCTGGGGTTATGGTGTTGTTTTGTTGTTACCTTTTTGTAAGTTACACTCAGGGTATTTTCTGCTCCTTCCACGACCTGCAAACTTTCCAGGGTTGGGCTGGCAAAAAGGCGGCTTCGCTGTGGACTGTTTACTGCTCTGGATTTAGCCATGGCGTGATCGTCATTAAGAAACAAAAGGCGAAAAACACGGTCAAGTCAAACAAAAGAGAAGGCGCAAAGAGCTCACCAAGCCCTTCCCAGCCGCCATAGGAAACACCACCGAGTTCATGGAGGTGTCTGGCTTGAACCAGCTAGGGCTTGTTTTCCCGTTTTAATCTAGTTTTCAGTGGCGGCTTTTAGTCTTTTGTCAAGAGAGTCTTCCTTTCTCTCACCACCCCCCCCTTCCACCCAAGTCGAGAAAAACAGCTGTTTTTCTTCAAAATAGATCGATTTTCAAAGAAAGTGTACGAGTTACTGGGAAGAAGTCTGAGCAGGCATCTACTGCTGTAAACATTTTCTCAAAAGCTTGCACTAAACACCGTAGCTTCATAAAAGCAAACGTCTTAAGAGCATTTTAACTGACTTACATCGGACAGAGACAAAGACGGACATGCAGATGAAGGATCCGAAAATTCAGGACATCTCAGGCGACATTAACATGATAACTGCAGTGCAGTAAGGACAGAATGGACTGGGTACTTACAATGTAAAAAGGTTTTTTAGAAAATTTAACAGTAACAGCTCACAAATTTTGGTTGCTGCTGCCATTTCGCTATTGCTATTAACTATACATTTAAAACATTACCTTGTTAAAAAAAAAAGAGTAGTTAATAAGATGGCCAGGTTAAGTGTTTAATAGAGGAAACTATATTTAAAAATTTATTGTTCAGTCAAGAGAATACAGATTAAGACAGCTCCGAGCTCTCCCCCCCTCCACCCCACCCAAGAAAAAAGAGGAAAAAAAATTAAATATGTCATTTACTTAGGTTTTTTTGCATTCAAAACTGTTAACTGCTGACATTAATAGTGTGCCATGACCTAGTTATACAAGACAAAGATGGATTCCAAGTCATAAGGAAAAATCCAGATCTTTTTAAAAGGTCTTCTCCATTCTTCCAAGTGTGAGTCCTTTGGCAAATGTTAAACACATTCAGGCGTCCTGAACTGGATGGTGGAGTCAACAAAGGAAAAACCCACTTGGCCATTTAATTCCAATGCAGAAAAATGGCTCCCCTCATCTGTTGGCCTCTCCTTGGAGTCTGATGAAGGATGTTTTGAGATCAGCGTCTAATAACTCAAGCCCTATAGAAGCCGCGTGCTGATTGGCTGCCGCGCCCTGCCGCCCTGCTCCAGCCAATTACCTACCCACGGCCAAATTACAAACCCCGAAAAGAGCCCCAATATGAAATACACCACCACGACGCCCCAGCCAGGCGGCTGCTTCGCCTCGGCAGCCCGAGAAGAGGGACCGAGGGGTCTGCAAACAGCTCCACGCGAAGCCGGGGACGCCTCCGAGTTGAACTCACAAAATGGAAGCCGAGCGCTGATTGGCCGCCGCCACTCCCGGACCTTTAATAAAGAAAGGGGAAGGAAAATGATAAATGCAAAAAAGGGGACTCTCTTGTCGCTGGTGGCTGGAGGAAGGAGGAAGAAGCATGTGTTCAGGACAATTACTGGGCGCTCCCCTCCAAAAATAAATAAAAACAGAAAGGAAAAAAATTTTTTTTTAAAAAAAAAGGAGCTATCTTCCATGTCCAGGCGAGGGCTGTATCCTCCCAGGAATGTGAAGGCTAATGTGGTTCCAAGTCTTGGTTTCCCCTCCCCAGTACAGCTCCAGGGAGGGAGGGAGGGGGTGTGCGGGCCGAAGAGGAAGCGGGATCGGAGATACCTCGATTGCAACTCGTTTTGGGGTCGACGTCTGCCTCCCCCAGGCTCCTAGTAGTCAAGCACACAATCACCCCCCTCCAAACCCAGCCCTTTTTGCCGAGTCTCCCCGCGCCCACCTCCGGTCTGGGCAGTTTGGAAACAGTTTGGGAGGCCCCGGGGGCGCACGCCGTGGAGTGCCCGGTAGCTGGAAGGGTAGCCCCAGCCGCGGGAGGTAGAGACCGAGGAGACCCCCCCTCTCCCCCCCGCCAGCCAAGCCCCCCACCTCAGTCCCAGCAGAATAAATAAATTAAAAGGCCTTCCCCCCGGGGAAGGGGGGGGGAGGCAGTGTGGGAGCGCGCGAGTGAGGGGTGGGGGGCCGCTGGGGCCCGGGGCTTTGGCGGCGCAGCTGCCGCCGCCGGGAGAGTGCCTGGGGAAGCGGCGAGGAAGGCGAGGGGAGGAGGAAGAGGAGGAGGAGGAGGAAGAGGAGGAGGGTGAGCGCTCGGGTCGGGCTCCTTAGCGGTGTATTGTGGGATGTGCGGCTACTGGGAGCCGAGCCTCCGCCGCCAGCCGCCTCCCGG